ATGTATCATCCGTAAACCCCCACATTAGTAATAATGGTATAACTGGCTAAAACAGAAAGCCTCTGACAAGAACTATGAACAGACACACTAAAAGGATAGATGACAAAATTAATAGAATAACAGCCAAACATGGAATACAGAAGTGAGTGCCATCAAATCCAGCTTTCCACCACCATGGAATGCCTTCTGACAAATCCAAAGTCAACTGCTTTCAACATGAGTTTTTTGTAAAAACAAAACCAAAACAAAATGCTTCCACAAAACTCCATGTTCGTCAGTCCCACTGAAGCCCATTGCAGACAATCCCTCCTAACTGCCAGAGAACTTCTTCCACATTTCCAGTGTATTCACAAACAGATAATACCATTTGGTTTTGCGCTGGTACTGAACAGCAACACACACTGCTCTTCTCTAATATTCATTCACATTAGTATTTTTCATAGAATCACAGAACAGTTTGGGTCGGAAGGGACTGTTACAGATCATCCAGTCCAACCCCCTGCAATGAGCAGGGGCACCTTCAACTAGGTCAGGCTGCTCAAAGCCCCGTCCAGCCTGACCCTGAATGCTTCCAGGACTGAGGCATCTACTACCTCCCTGGGAAATCTCTTCCAGTGTTTCACCACTGCCATAATAAAAAAAGTCTGCTTTATACCTACTCTGAATCTGCCCTCTTTTAGTTTAAAACTGCAACAGGCCCTATAGTTGGGCGACTATTTCTGTGGAAAGCAATTTTGTACAACCTCTTTTTATCTGTCAGAACAACTTCAACTCCTCTTGTAGAAGAGACGCGCCATTCCTGACATCATTGTGGTAGCCTTCCTTACAACTGCTCCAGTTAGAACTAATCCTTCTTGGCTGACAGAAACGTGTGGAAGAAAGATGTAGAAGAAATCTCACAAGTCCATGTCCAGTGACACTAAAACTTCTCCCTTTGCTGGAAATACTTGATTTGACAGACTGGAGACCATCTGCTGCTGTACCACCCTGCTACATGGGTGGCTCAATGGTGTTGCTACCAGGTTGTAAAACCATGGTCATTATCATCCGGTGGCATTTAAAATGTAATTAACCTGCAGTTCACGGTAAAAATTTGTACTACTTTTCCCTAGCAATACATGTTAATAGCTATTAGTAAATTTTCTATTATCCAGCCTTCTAAGTAATCTGTTACTCTTCAGCTAGAACAGAAAGTCATGTTTCGATCCACCCCATGTGAATTTTTACCGTTCTCTCCTTCAAGCATTTATTTTAATTCATCACTCTTGCTGTCTGAGAAATCTCACAAGGAGAGAGTAAAACTCAGAAAAAAAAAGAAAAACCAACAGAAAATCATTTTACCGAATTTCTAAATTATATTAAGGGAAACATCGAGCACTCTGACTGCTGAAAAAATGCAAGCTCTCACTCATATCTAGCAACTTCTGCAACAGAAGTATCCCTTCAACCAATTAAAGTACCAGGATTCGACTGAAGTCAGGCCATGATAATACAGCATACCATAATACAAAAAATAAGGTTAGGCTGATCACTCACAGTTAGTATCCTGGGGAAACAGAAAAACTTCAGATACTAAAAGAAACATCTTTACCCCATGAAAAGGGTAAAACACTGTTTTATATACTTGTTTCTTTTCCAGGACTAAATGTTCAAAAATACACAGACAGCATGCTGAACACCTGAAGTGTCCTCATAAACAGTCAGATCTGGTCTTTACTACGAACTGTCATTCTGTCTTAATCCGCAATTCAAACCCTGCTAAAATAATTTCTGGAGCATTTTAATCTTTTTAAAGGAATGTCCTGGGTTTATTTTCTATTCCTAGAAAGCAGCAGCTAAATGGTTTGCCAGAAAAGGTATTTCAGTTCTGAATTTCTAACACTGCAGTGAGTCTGTTTTAAATGACCATAAATACCTGATCCTTTTCATTCTTTAGGCAAATGGGAACTAAATGTCAGTGATGCACAAAATCCTTCAAAGATGCCTCTCCAAATGCTGGGGTTTGCCTTCTTTAATTCAAGTCTCACCTCATTTACTTTCATTTGTCCAAACTATTTTACATGCTTCAAGAATCACGAGGGATTCTCACACTCTGATTTAATGTTTCTGTTTACTGTCGTGAGGACAAGACTTGGCAACCAGTCCAGGAACGCAGACTCTGGTCTGCCTCAAAAGGAAGGTTTTCATCATTCCCCTCCAACAAAATTCAGAACAGATGGAACTGAAGTGGTACCAATCAGAAAAATAAAAAAAGCACAATACCTATTTTGTGTAGAGGTTTGGGTTTTTTGGGTTTGGTATGGGGTTTTTTTTGGTTTTTGGTTGTTTAGGGATTTTTTAATACAGATAATCATAGGGCTAACATTTTCAACTATGAAATAATAATTAAAAAAAAATTGTAACTAACCAAATCACATGATCAGGTAATTTTCATGCCATGATAACTTGGAAAACGCAGTAACTTTCTAGATATTTAGAGTGTCAACACATTTAGAAAACAAAATGTACTTGACTAATACTAAGTAAAAACTACAGAAACAAGGACATTTTTATTGTCTCTTTTAAAAGTCAATCAGCTGGGCTGGTCTAGATCTGGAGAAGAGGCAATTAAGTACGAAAGAAACAAGTATATTATTTCCCATGTGTTTCCTTTTCCTACTCAGTGAGTGCAAATTTATATATTTAAGCACAGCAGGAAAGGTATTCACTTTTTAAGCTTAAAGGAGAAAATGTCTCACGCTCATTTTTTGTTGTTGACCTTTTTTTTACTTTCATCTCTTCTAAATACACCAGCTAATGTAATCAAATATTTTCTTTCTGATAAGACTGCAACCCTTCTCCAGTATGGGATTCCCAGTCACGTTTGTGACATCCAACTTTGCATACTTAGTGCTATTACATTCTCAGAGAAAAAAAAAGTATGTTTCAGAGCAGAAGTTGGTCCTTGTATCTCTCCACCAGCATGTTTTGACCCACAGCTCTCTACACTTTGTAATACACCATCCCAAAGCACCGTGCCCATGCACATCCATCAGATATTCCTCATTTCTCTGTCTCCAAAAGCCTCAACCTCACAGTTCAGAGCCCTTCAGCCCCCAGCATAATGCAACAAACTCTTCCTTTTCCTATGCAGCCCCTAATGCTTTGGCAGATCAAAAAAGTCACTCACTCATTTACCAGACTGAGATCTCATTCAACAAAAACTCACAGACCGTCTCCACTGGGAGAAAAACAAGATGTGCTACAGAAAAGAAGATGCATGGCTGCCGTAAATATGTGAACGTATTAAATACGCTACTTCCAATTAGTACTGCTGAATTCTCTCATCAACTCTTACCTAAGGATGGCAGCGGCCTGATAAACTCAGGTTTCCAGACAACTCTTGGCTTTTTAAATATGAGAATATACAAGAATATATAAATACAAGAATATAAGAGCGAAGAAATGGACGAAACTCTTCATTTTTGTGCTCCAAGTCTTGAATGTACACTCTCTCCTTGCAGATCAAGCTGTCTTCTACAGAAGCCCCTTAAATATGCACACAGTCTGTCAGGCTTACAAACCTACCCATCTAGACAGTGCTGAAGTCATGAGTTCTCTGGACAACCTTTTCACAAAAGAGCCTTTGGTTTAGTCAATTTTGCTGAAACATTTGAAAAGTGCTGTAAAAAAAAGTAACTGATTGGCTAGAACTGTAAATCAACATTAGTATGACAGAGAGTTCTTAGCACTGAATATTCAAGATAGCAAATTTAAAAATTTGTAGCATTTTTGATTTGCGAAGGTGTCGTGAAACCCAATAAATGTGGGGTGTTTTTTTCTGCTAAGACATCTAAACACAGTTTAATGCATGCAGTCTTTCCCTCAGGAAAGCTGTAGATAGCAAAACTCCCTCTGGAAGACTGCCTTAATAATCAACTGTGAGCAGAGACAAAGTGAGTGCAGTACAACAGGCTAGTCATCTGAATATTTCCTAATGTTTTGCCACCTTTCATCTGGAATGTCAGAACTATTCCCTAAAGGTGGTCATGCCTCTGAGAGCTAAACTGGGGAGACTACATAGCAGCAAATTTCTGCCCTATCCCTTCTCTTCAATTTATTCATCTCAGTGGACAGCTGTAAACATCAACAGTATAAATTGTCTTCCTGGTTGACCAACCAGGAAAAGGTGAACAGAAAACATAAATAAGTGGCACAAATCCCACCACACCTACATTGCAACTCCATTTATCTAACATGGTAGAGTGCAGCACAAGTGTAAATACAAGATTTTACTATTAAGTGGAAAAATAATTACTTTCAAGTCTGGAGGTTTTGGTTTGGTTTTTTAAGTACATCAACACCCTTTAGGGTTTGAAATTTTTTCCTCTATGTTAATTTTTCTATTTACTGGTATGAAAAATTACCTCCTCTTTCAGTGCATGTTTCTTCTGCTCCAAACAGATTTCTTTAGCACGCATCAACTGCAGCGTCTCCTTAGAAACTGCATACTGAAGCTTTTCCATACGTTCCACTGCTGCTGCCCATGCTGCCTTCCCAAATTTTTTCTGGTCTGCTCGCATTCGATCATACACAGCTACAGAAAGGAAGAAAAGGCATAAAGCTTACCAGTCTACTCTTCAGATCACCAGTGATTACCCTGCACAGACAATGCACACATTTATATCCAAAAACACATGCTAAGTTCTCTTAGCATGGAGTACTTATTCTATGGATGAGTACAATCCAGAATGTGAGTATTCTTAGGATTCACGTAAATATGGAATTTCTTGATCCTTTTATCACTAAATTCCTATTTTTTTTATCCGCAGAGGCACCATTCTGAATACATAGGACCTGAACACTTGAACCACTGGTCCAGAATTCTGAACTTAATCAAAACATTTCATTAATGTTAAACGTGTGGTCTCAAACTGCATCCCAAATTTTCCCTGCTTCTGAAAGCCCCGATTATCAGATACTGAAAGTCTCCACTTTCCCCTGATAAATTCTACAGTGCAGTCATAAGTTTAAACAAATCTGCAAAGTGAAAAAAAATTACAATTTAAAACATAAATTTCAGTTTGACCTGAAGTGCAGTTCTGAGGGAACACTGAATTACATTTAAACAGCATCTACATTTTACATCAAAATGCAGGTTGTTTCAGAAAACTGATTCAAATTAACTAAACAAATTATAATCTGATCTTAATATGCAGGAATGAATGAGAATCTTTCCAGGAAGACTTCAGAGTAGCAGGAGTTCCTTGCCTGATTCAGGTTTTCTGTTTTTGAGACCCAGACAATGTCTAGGCTGACCCACAGGAGATTTTCACCGTATTTAATATATAGAAAAATCACATGATACTGCACACATAGCTTTGCAAAGCAAAAGCCATGAAAGTCACCCAATCGAAGGGACAGCATTCAGTCTGCAGCTGCCAGAAGATACTGCATGCTGTTGTTAGATAATAAAAAATACCTTTATGTCCTCATGTGTTTTTCCTCTGCCATCTGTTAGTATTTTAGTATATAAGACTACCGGGTGATCAGCAGTAGACCAAAAAAAAAAAACCAACCCAAACCCCAAAACATAACAAAACAGGCAAGCAACTTCTATACCAAAGGTCTATGGCTGTGTAGTCTCTAGACATTTCATTTTCCACTGTTTTTCCCCACAATCCTGATTGCTGTACATAAAAAAAATAACACGTGAACAAACTAAAAAGTAAATAACTAAATATACATTCTTTATCAACTAATGGGGTATTTTATTTGCTGTCTTTGTCATACTAGAAAAGGAACCACACTGATTAAACACATTCAGAATTTGCTCTACTTAAGCTCACTCCAACCTGTTTGAACAAGTTTAGTCATTTTTTCAAAATAAGGTGGAGTTTCACAATATACTTAACTTGGTTTGCCACCAAAAGGAATAATTTTGCAGTAACTGCTTCTCTTAAGGCATATCTAGCAGTCATGCAGGGAGATGACAGGAAATCTACCAAACAAAAAAGATTTTCTCCCAGTTACAGCTCATTTATCTGGCTGCACAATCACTATCATCAAGGCAAAGAAAGAAACAGGAACCTACTCAGAGAGGGAAGACAGTGGGACACAAGCTCTGCCAGAGGTAGCCCAGAGTCAAACTAAAAGAGGTTGACACGAAAACATATCCTCAGGTATGCGTGCCCTCGTAAACTGATTATTTAAGTTAAATAGTACAAGGATGAGAGCGCAGATGTACATGGCAAATCATATGACCTGGTTTTACTGCACCAGCTCTTCAGTCAAACTGACTTCTTCAAGCACAGAAAGGCCAGGGTTTTATTCATGAAGATTTCAGAACAGGGCAGCTTTCACCAAGTAGTTAAACTGAGCTGCTGCTTAGCATTTAGGGCTATGAAAATAATTACTGAAAGGCAGGGGAGAGAGGAAAAGGAAGTGAATTGAAAGGTAATAAACACTTACTATGGTAGTCTGCCATATCCAGTACAACAGACAAAATCCATCAGGGACACTCCCTAAATCATTTGTATTAGCTACACTGTACATTTGCAATCATATTAATTGGTTATAAAACTTGTATCTAAAATTTCTATTCTGCCCACTTCTGATGATGTTTTGAAAATGCTTATTGGTGAAAGTTTTCAAATAGACAAAGAAAACACAACTGGGAATGGCAACTGCTTTCCTTGGAGAGGGTTGATGAAAAAATAAATAAATCACAGTACAATACAGAACACAGTAAACATTACATGAATTTTTTAAGATCTTTCATTTCACTAATAGGATAGTAGAAAATAACTACCTTTCTGTGTTTTAGCTGTTATTTCAAAGTATTTAACTGTAAGATCTTGAATAGAAAGCACAGCCATGTGGGCTTTTCTCTGCCAATCAGCATCTTCTTTTTGCAGACTCTCAATTCTTCTGGGGCCTAGGTAGTCATTCTCTATTGAGATCTGAAAATAAATCAGTCCATAATTAACAACACAATTAATTGTTGCTATTTTACCAACAACAACCAGCTTCTGGATGGCTATGAAAGAAAGAAAAAATTAAAAGGAGAGAGAACTACCAGCACAACATCATGGTTTCTATTCTAACATTTTCTCCAACTCACTTTTTGATCTGCAAGTTCCTCATTTGGACTGAAAGTTCTGGAGACAGTGTGATCTAACACAAAATCCTCTCATCTCAGAACTAGATCACACAGCCAAATCTACAGTTTATTTTCTAGTAACCACTTTCTCAAAAAAGCCTTCCGGTTGTTCCTCCTAAAAATACTTTATTCTCTTTGAGAAGAATCCAGGCATCATGGTAAAACTGGCTAATACTATTTTTTTTCCTGATGATGAAACTTGCTTTTGAAGACTTTCATGTCTTGCAGGCTTTACTTCAGATAATGCCTTGAAACTAACAAAATTATGACAGCTTTCACAAAAGTGGCTGTAGCACACAAGAAGAGGAAGAAATAGCAGAAGCCATTAACTTCATCACATCAGGTAAACATCTATGTCCATCAGCTATTATTTCAGAGTAACAGAACAGAAAAGAACACGTTTCTACACCATACGGGTATGTTTCTGAATGAAAACAAATTAGTTCTTTAGATAAACAATCTGAAAGGAGATCCCTAATCCAGCCTGTGAGCACATGAGAATGAATCAGAGAGGCAAGACTCTTCTACTGGAAACGTTCTTCTCTGGAGAAGTCCACAGATCGTTCTTATGTTTAGTTTTGAAGAGTGAAGTAAGTTTATTGTGAGAAGATACGAGAAACAGGCCTGCAACTACAAGATTTTGTTAAGTATTATATAGTATACATCTCCTAAATAAAGAAGTAGTCCTCAAGGATCTCTGATACTTCCCAGGTTCTTTCTGAAGGCAGCTGGGACAAGAATGGACAAGACTGACAGAAAGACACTAATGCCAGGTCACATTTTAGCTTAGGAAGGGATCTGTCATGTCTACCATCTCCCTTTGTTATCCGTCTCCTAGACAGACTTGTAATAGGCAGTAAAGTAGAAAAACAGGAGATGTAACAACAGGCCAATTATAAGAACCAAAAAAACCCCAAAAAACCCAGCTGAGGGAGCACTACAGATGGCTGAGGCAATATACAAAAAGGAAAACAGCTTCATGCATAAAGGAGTGTTTCAGCTCAAAAAACTAGCTACCTTACTTTGACACATTCCAGGAAGCCAACCAATTGCAACCACAGCCTGTTGGATATATTAGCAATAATTCATGCATTTCAGCTTCATCATCCATTCACGGACTTCTCAAAATGAATCTCACAGGTTTTAATTTAACTATCCTCCCAGCTCGTAACACAAGGCCAGCACTATTTCCCAAAATATGCCGTAATTCCACGTGTACAGCCCCATATATATTAAGTAAAAGCACTCAGCTGTAAAAAGGGCTTTACAGTTTTACTGGTTTTATCCTAACAAATCCTAACATGGACTTTAACGGTAATACATGCAAACAAACAGATTGAATGGTCTAGATTCTGTAATATATCTGGAGCCTGGGACTAGTAATACAAAATACAGCTGTTTAGATTAGGAGAACGATGTACACTATTGAATAAAGTTAGCCTGTAAATGAAGTAAACTTAAAAGCAAACCAGATGCAATGGGCAGTGGCAAATGTTTTTTTTTTCCCAGAATTATGGAAAATGCTGAAAAATTAAGAAGAATTCAGAAGAGAAAAATCATAGAACCTTAGACGGGTTTGGGTTGGAAGGGACCTTAAAGATCATCTAGTTTCACCCCCCCTGCCATGGGCAGGGACACCTTCCACTAGACCAGGTTGCTCAAAGCCACATCCAGCCTGGCCTTGAAGACATCCAGGGATGGGGCATCCACAACATCTCTGGGCAACCTGTGCCAGTGCCTCACCACCCTCTCTGGGAAGAACTTCTTCCTCATATCCAGTCTAAACCTCTCCACTTTCAATTTAAACCTGTTACCCCTTGTCCTGTCACTACAGGCCCTTGTAAAAAGTCCCCCCCAGCTTCCTTGTAGGCCCCTTCAGGTACTGGAAGGTGCTATAAGGTCTCCCCGGAGCCTTCTCTTCTCCAGGCTGAACAAGCCCAACTCTCCCAGCCTGTCCCCATAGCAGTGGTGCTCCAGCCCCATGACCATCTTTGTGGCCTTCCCTGTATTCGCTCCAACCAGTCAATATCCT